CTTAGATCCATCCATGTCACTGGAGGTCCAAGTGGACTCCATGGCTCAGAATACTAGGTGTAGTTTGACTGGTGCACTAGCCATGGCCTTTTCTGAAAAGATAACCTAGCCACAGTAGGCCATGCACTGGTAACATCTCAATCAGACTAGTATTATGTTCTCTACATGGGACTGTATTTGAAGAAGACTCGAAAGCTGCATCTAATTCAAAATGCAATGTCTCGACTGTTGCAGGATATCCACACACACATAGAACCACACACACTACCTTTATTGGCATACAACAGCAAAATCACTGCACAGGTATATACAACAAGAGGAAGTCACAGACAAAAGGGATATCATATAGTCAGCATGTAATGCCAGTTTTCAAAAGAACTGTGCTGGTTTCCAAGAGGTTTCCAGTCTCGACTCAAGATGCTAATGATGACATGTAAAGACCTAAAGGGCTCGAGACATCAATATCTGAGGGAGTGTTATCGAGCAATTTAGGCCAGTTAGCGGATAGTGAGATCCGGAATGCAAAAACGGAGTCTGTGCCTGGCGAGGCTTAAAGCTTAAAATTAAAACCCAAATTTCTCAATCAAAGAAGTCTCACCAGTTGAAGCAGAAGCTGCAGAGGCTATTTCTTTGATCCAGCCAAAAAGGATGACAGAAGCTGTAAGCTGCTCAAAGAAGCTGACATACTTGTACAAATAAAACATGCATTTTTAGACAGTAAATCCTTTGTTTTCCCTGCACCTGCCCTGGAAAGGCCATCTTCATGCTAATTGATGGAGCCAGTGCTGACGTCATGGCTAGCTGGGAGGATTCCCCCTGTGGGGTGGGACTGTGGCACCCGGCAGCCAATCAGAAGACTTTCCCTGCTTCCATTGCAGATTTGTAACCCTCTAACGGCTGGCAGGGCGAGATGGTCATGGGGAACAAAGGAAAATATGAATTTGTAAGTGGGCAATAGTGTCTCAACCTCGACACTAACGAAGTGGGGCCATCAGGTCCCTGGGAGTTATTGTCTTTAAAGTGTCCAGTGAGTGACCCATCAAGTGGGCCTGGCACCCATGGCACCTGTGTCCATTGTTGATCGAGTCAGAATATTGTCCAGAATGATAGGATTAAGTGATCCATCCCTGGAAAAGGGGAAATGGCATTGAGGGAGAGCCATGGCAGAGCTTCCCAACTTCAGGGTAGATGCCATATGATATTGAGTCCTTTTTGTCCTGGTAGCCACACAAAAGAAGGTTGGCCCAATTCAGGGTACGGTTATCCTTTTGTGTAGCTGGCTCATGCTGACAGAAGATGATGGGTGCATGAGTCCTTTGTTTAACTGAAGTCCAGGAAGACGCAAGAGGAATTCAAGTCATTTATTGCCAGTGAAAGGTCACAAGGGTCTTCGTGGTGACTCCATGGCTCCAAAAAGTATTTTGCTATTGTTTATTCGTTCAGTCACTTCCAACTCTTCATGACCTCATGGAACAGCCCACACCAGAGCTCCCTGTTGGCCATTGCCACCCCCAGCTCCATCAAGGTCAAGCCAGTCACTTCAAGGATACCATCCATCCATCTTTCCTTTGGTCGGCCCCTCTTCCTTTTTCCTTCCATTTTCCCCAGCATCATTATCTTCTCCAAGCTTTCCTGTCTGCTCATTATGTGGCCAAAGTACTTCCTCTTTGCCTCTAATATCCTTTATTTTCAGGAAATAAAACCTGGCTTTATTTCCTGGAGCACTCCCTAGTTCGTCTGGGGTTCCACCTGTCGCCATTGCTGATCAGCCCCAGTTGTGGCAGGAAAGACTATGATAATTTCAGTACTATGATAATTTCAATGCTGTCACTAACAATATGAAAATGATACTGAGACTAAACAGGTATAATAACTATTTTAACTAGTTGATTCAATGTTGCCATGATAATGCTGTTAATGTATTTATTAATATGCAGTGTAATCCACTGCAAAATCATTCTTGCCATGAAATACATGTTATACTCACACACTTATTTGGGAATCAGTTCTATTTAAGTTCCTGAAATTTACTTTTTAATTAACCTTTACACAGGTTTCTAGGTGAAGTACTTTAAATGTGGAAAGAGATACAGGTTTAGCAGCCCTTATCCAGGATTCTGAAAACCAAAATATTTCAAAATGGTCCCTGAGACAGTGACACCTTTGCTTTTTGATGGCTCAATGTACCTATACTTTGTTTCATGCACACAATTATTTAAAATGTTGTTTATAGAATCACCTTCAGGTTATGTATATAAGCTGTATATTAAACATAAAAGAATTTTGTGTTCAGACATTAGTCATGTCTTCAAGATAACTCATAGGCAAGTATTCCAAAAAAAAAAAACACCAAAAAATTCACTGGCTCTATTACATCTGCAGTTCCTCATTCACTCAATGGAAACAGCAGCTTAGTACACAAGTCTGTTTGTATTCTTGGAACTGCTCCATTCCTTGACATGAATAGGAAATCCCTTGTTTGGCAGGTGAGCTTTGTGTGTAACCTCCTGCAAAGGACTGCTATATCAAGATCATTATCACCATGAAGCACTGGAATCTTGTAATAGTATTGTGGGAATTACAAATTGTCTCTTCGGTGCAAGGAATTATTGGCTCAGTTCCCAGTCAATCCAATCCATACAGAGCGGACACCAAACACGGCATTTTATTCTGAAAGGTCAAAATCTAGACCACCTTGCCACAAGTGGCATAATATTTCAAGGTCATTTCATTTTGATTAGTTACTCCCTTGGCTATCTTTCCCAAAACACTTTGTGCAGTTAAATAAATTAAAAAATAGATGTAAGCTCATAGGGAAGGAGAAACCTCTGAAAAAAGGAGAGAAGGGAGAGCTTTGCCTGTTCCTACAAGGATATTTATTCTTTTATTTAAAGTGAGAAAACCACAACATTGAGACAACGGTTGGCTCTATATCAAGCATTGGCAAACTTTGGCCCTCCCTCCTTTAGGACTCCCACAATTCTTAACAGCCAGAAGCTGAAGTCCAAAACACCTGGAGGGCCCAAGTTTGCCCATGCCTGCTCTATATTATAGAATTAATGCAATGGCTCAATGGGATGGATTTTTTAAAGTTGGAGTTTGGCGAAGCACCAGCACTTTACAGAGAAGGAAAAAGCCCTTGTAAAGGTACGATGTTCACAATTTCCTAGCATTAAGCCATGGCTGTGGTGTCAAACTGCATTGCTACAATGGAGATTCCTCCTAGAAGGCAATCGCTATTTCCTAAGACACAGATTTACTGCACACAAAGTGAAATGTAAGTCACAAAACCAAGGACTGTAGCAGTGCTTGGAAAACAATATTTCAAAGCCTAGGATAGACAGAATTTGCAGAGCCTATCTGGCTTCTGTTCATATCGGTTGGGAGATCTTGGCAGTTGTCATCCCCAAATATCGTATTTACTCAATTCTAATACTCACCTTTTTTTTTTTTACTAAATTTCATTCATTCACATCTTGCAGCACAGTATACATCTACAGTGTAGATTTAATGCAGTTGGATACAACTTTTGACTGCCAAGCCTCAATGCTATGGGATCCAAGGAACTGAAGTCTGGTGAGGAACCAGCACTTTTCGCCAGAAAAGGTTAAGGATTGAGCCAAGGCAGTCAAAGTGGCGACAAACTGTAGTGTAGTAGATGCATCCTCTGGGTTGTTGTAGGTTTTTCAGGCTGTAAGACCATGTTCTAGAAGCATTCTCTCCTGACGTTTCACCTGCATCTGTGGCAGGCATCCTCAGAGGTTGTGAGGTCTGTTGGAAACTAGGAAAATTGGGTTTACATACCTGTGGAAGGTCCAGGGTGGGAGAAAGAACTCTTGTCTGTTGGAGCTAGGTGTGAATGTTTCAATTTTGCCACCTTGATTAGCATTTGATGCCTGACAGTTTTTAAGTGTGGGTTGTTACTGCCTGGGAAGTTCCTCTGTTGAGAGGTTATTAGGTGTTCCTGATTGCTTCTTGTCTGGAGTTCCCCTGTATTTGAGTTTTGTTTTTTATTTACTGCTATAATTTTAGAGGTTTTTTTTAGTACTGGTAGCCAGATTTTGTTCATTTTCATGGTTTCTTCTTTTCTGTTGAAATTGTCCACATGGTTATGGATTTTAATGGCTTCTCTGTGTAGTCTGACATGGTGGTTGTTCGAGTGGTCCAGCATTTCTATTTTCTCACATAATATGCTGTGTCCAGGCTGGTTCATCAGGTGCTCTGCTATGGCTGACTTCTCTGGTTGAAGTAGTCTGCAGTGTCTTTCATGTTGCTTCATGTTTGGGCAATGCTGTGTTTGGTGGTCCCCATGTAGACTTTTGTCCATAGCTGCATGGCATACGGTAGACTCCTGCAGAGGTGAGAAGATCCCTCTTGTCCTTTGCTGAACATAGCATTTGTTGGATTTTATTAGTGGGTTGCTTGTCCACTGTGCCCTGCCCCACGTACAGAGGAGGAATTGTTGGAGGCTACAGACAATGCCGTTGCTATTGCCCGTTTTTGGTCAAAAGATATTTAGCTGCCTGCACGCCTTCCATTTTTATCAGTTTTATACTAATTTATGCAATGCTTTTGATACGAAATAAATAAGTGGGTCTGTAGATAGTTTGTATGTTGTGTGTCCTCATCAGCTTCCCTATGCATTCAGTAGTTTCCTTGATGTATGGCAAGAACACTTTTCCTCTGGGTGGATGCACCCTCTGTTTAGAGTCTCACAAGAACTAGAAACTTTCAAAACTTTGGAAAGTGGGACCTGCCCACCCTTTCCGCGGCAGCCAATCAGATTCCCGTTTCAGTCGCTGGTCTTAAGCAGTAATGGCAGAGGACAAACGCCCCGCCCCTTTGGAACGAATCGCATCAGAGAGGTGTAGTGGGCGTGGCTACGGAGCTCAGCGTTCGCCGCTCAGCCTTGATGTTTCGGCTCCACTAAAGGAGACGGAGTGGGCGGGAAGTTCCGTCGCTATGGCTACGAGCTCGGGCCGCTATTGGTTGCTCCCGAGAGAGCGGAAGTGGGGCGTGGGAGAGGCCGCCGCGGACGTCGCGCTTTGACCCCGGAAGCGTATGTGAGAGGCCTGGGATGTTGCCCCAGGTTTGAATAACACGAGCTGATTCATCGCGGCCCGGCTGAGCGGAAGGCGGCACCGAGGAACGGAGAGAAAGAGTCGAGACAGGATTCCGGGCTCCGAGAAAGGGTAGGCCTCGACTCCTGGAGGGGGAGAAGCGGAGGCAGAGACAAGGTAAAGATTAAGCGTATTTCCTGGAGAGTAAGCCCAGCCGAACCCACAATATATGTTGGAAGCGGCTGGAAAGAAGCAGCAGCAGCAATAAACTCCATTGGACACTGGGGGCCCTTCCACAGAGCTGAATAAAATCCCACATTATCTTTGAACTGGAATATATGGCAGTGTGGACACAGATAACCCACTTCAAAGCAGATATTGTGGGATTTTCTGTGTGGAAGAGCCCTGGGTTAGGGAGTTGAGAGGAAGGTACCCTTATGTTTTCCTCCATTCCTTGCTACTGTCAGAGGATCCCAGATTAGAATGGTTCCTGGTGTTCTGAAGCCATTCAAATCCAGCATAGGGTGGACATCACAAATTAGTCTTTCTGAGGCTTGCTCCCATTTTCTAGAAGCCAGGCCTGTAGCCAGAAGGAATTTTAAAAACCTGGTTTACTCATTAGTTGGCTAAACAGTTGAAATTCATGAGTAAACCAGTTTTCTATCTGAAACATTTGGGGGAGGGGTTGAATCCTAAACCCCCTCTAGCTACAGGCCTGCTAGTAACTGTAACAAGATTGTTGCCATCCATGTTTTTAACACAACTTCTTTATTCATTACTCATGTTTATATCCTATCGTTTCTTCATTGAGATCATGTCTTTCCTTCTCCCTATTTTATCTTCCTGTGAGATAGGCTAGACCAACCCCTTCATCACACTAGAGAGAAAATCCACTTTAAATCCACTTTCTGCCTCCTGCAGAATTCTGGGGTTTGTAGTTTAGTGAGGCTGTTAAAGGCTTCTCTCTAAACTACAACACCCAGAATTCTGCAGGAGGTGGAAACTGGATTGTTTTGTGTGACAAGGCCCCTGCTTCTTGACAGTGGGTTGGACTGGATGGCCCATGAGGTCTCTTCCAACTCTATAATTTTATGATTCTAAGAGGGAGACTGGGCCAGGGTTGCCCAGTTTCTTGAGTCAGTGGGAAGTAAACCTAGTCTCCCTAGTCTCAGTTCACCACTTTAATCACTGCTCCATACTGGTTCTGTGAGGGCCCTTCTGCAGAGTCATATAACCCAGAATATCAAGGCAGAAAATCCCACAATATCTGCTTTGAACTGGGCTATCTGAGTCCACACTGTCATATATTCCAGTTCAAAGCAGATAATGTGAGATTTTATTCAGCTGTGTGGAATCCTTTCCTCCTGAGTTTACCTCATAGTGTACAGCATTTTACTAGTTATTTCCCTAGAGTGATTCTTGTAGCAAGTCATTTAAGAAATACGTTGATTTGCAGACTTGCATAGGGCTCTTCAACATTATGACTTCGTTCTAGATCTCTTAGATGCTGAATTCTTCCTTGCTTCATTGGCAGTGATGAGGCTCACTGTTCATGAGAGATTTGGAAACACCATTTCCCTGGAATCATAGAATAATTGAGTTGAAAGAGACCACACGGACCATCTAGTCCAACACTGTGCCATGCAGGAAAAGCACAAACTATCCCTGACAGATATCCATCCAGCCTCTGTTTAACGTTTCCAAGGAAGGAGCATCCACCATACTCTGAGGCAGAGAGTTCCACTGCTGAACAGCTCATACGGTCAGGAAGTTCTTCCTAATGTTCAAGTGGAATCTCCTTTCCTTAGTTCTAATTTCAAGGGCAGCAGAAAACAAATCTGCTTCTTCTTCCCTTTGACATATTTATACATGGCTATCATGTATCCTCTCAACCTTCTCTTCTGCAGGCTAAACCTACCCAATTCTTTAAGACACTCCTCGTAGGGCATGGTCTCCAGACTTTTAATCCTTTTAATCACCCTCCTCTGGACATCTTCCAGCTTGTCAATATCTCTTTTAAACTGTGATGCCCAGAATGAGACACAATATTCCAGGTGAGGTCTAACCAAAGCAGAATACAAAGGCACCATAACTTCCCATGATCTAGACACTAGATTCCTTTTGATTCAGCCCAAAATCCCATTGTCTTTTTAAGCTGCTGCATCACACTGTTGACTCATGTTCAACTTGTTGTCCATGAAGACTCCAAGATCTTTATCACATGGACTATTGTTGAGCCAGGCATCACCCATTTTGTATCTTTGCATTTCATTTTTTTATGCCTAAGTGTAGCATTTTACATTTATTCTTGCTGAAATTCATTTTGTTAGTTTTAGCCCAGCTCTCTAATCTGTTAAGGTCATTTTGAATTTTGATCCTGTCCTCTGGAGTATTAGTTATCCCTCCTAATTTGGTGCCATCTGCAAACTTGTTGAACACGCCCTCTAAACTTTCATCCAAGTCATTAATAAAGATGTTGAACAGTACTGGACCCAGGACCGAACCCTGCAGCAGTCCACTAGTGACTTTTTTCCAGGATGAAGAGGAACCATTGTTGAGCACCCTTTGGGTTCAATTGCTTAACCAATTACAGATCCACTTTATAATAGTATTTCCTAGCCCACATTTAACTAGTTTGCTTGCAAGAAGGTCATGGGGGACTTTGTTGAAGGCCTTACTGAAATCAAGAAAGTTTATATTCACAGCATTCTCTGAATCTACCAAGCGTGTAACCCTATCGAAAAAAGAGATAAGATTAGTCTGGCATAAGTTGTTTTTGAGTCCCAGCTTGCAGCCCTTAAGTCAAGAGTTATGGAAATTCTGGGGAGACAGTACCCTTGGTGGGCCATCTGAGCATTATCTCATAATTTTTACCTCCACTGCCCTAAAACTGTCGGCCATTGTACTTGTTTCATCCATTAAACCAGTGCTACTCAATGTGCTTTTCCATGAGCCACTGGCTGCCAATTGGTGGAGAGCTGCCATGAAAGAAAGAAAAGTTGTACTCGATGGGCTCCAATAAGATACCCATGAGATAGCCTAAAGAGTACTTCAGCAGGGAAAGTGTACCCACTCTTCTGTAATTTGTTCCATAAAAGAAACTGTTGCTATTTTGTCCAAGATCTCGTTCATGTTAATTTGGGCCTTTAAAATAAAAACAAACAAACAAGCCTGATAGTTGTTTTTAAATTGGCATAGTTCAAGTAGTCCAAATTATACAAAAATACTTCATGGACTTTTAAAAACACATTTAATTTTTATGTAATACTCCATTTTTAGTGAATTCTCATAGATGTATATGTATGGATGCATATGTCTTCTTTGTCAATTTTGTTGTTGCTGCTGTTGCTGTCTTCATCACCAGATACACAATTTGGTGTCTTCCAGAGGTTTTTAATTGCAGTTCAGATCAGCCCCAGCTACTGTGGTCAAATCATGATGACCACAGCAAGTATCAATCTTTGCTTTAAAACTGCATTTTTCCTATTGGTTATTAGAATCATTGATGTCCCTCGGGGTGAGAAAAGCAGTATACAAATACTGTAAATAAATAAATTTGCTTTGTTTGCTTATGGTCTAATTTTCTCCAAAGTTTAGGGTCAGAGAAAAGGCACACATTTCCCACTCCCAAATGCATAATAAAAATTCCAAAAGGACTGATTTGTATTTGCAGTCTAATTACAACATCTCTTTGCTTAGCTTTTACTCAAAATAAATAACAGGCATGCTAAAAGGGTTAAGAGAACAGAAAATGGGAACATTTGAAACATAAAAAGGAGTGTACAAACTTTAAAAATAGCTTATTTGTATGGTAGGTATTTGTATGGTGTGTTTAAGTGTTCCTTATCATATATGTACTGTAATGCTCCATATTTATCAAGAACTAATCCTCTCATATGATCTGAAACTGGTAAAAACCAGAGAGTGAGAATACTTCCGTGTGAGCTTGGTGTTGAAGTTACAGTAATCATTATGTGGAAGTTTGCAGTTTGTTAAAATCTATTAATAGAAGATGTTAACAAAATCAATAATAGTATGTTTATCTTGCTTTTGTTCCATCTCATATCAGTTTAAAATTCTGAATGTTTTTGCATGGGGAATGGCATTAAAATGACACTTCATTATGCATAAATATTTGCACATGAAAATGTTGTGATAATGGAAGATGTTATTGCATTTGTTGAGAGATTCTGGTGTACTTGTTCATTATCTATTTTGGTGGCTTAGATTTCATAAAGTGTTTAATTATTATAAATAGGTAATAAAGGCTATATACTCTGTTGTTTCTTGGGACACTACACATTTAAAAATGGTTGACATTCCAGCTAATACAATAAGGTTCTCATGGCTCTTCGTTTCAACACTTCATTAGTCATGTGCTCATATAAATGCATATGTGTCTCTGCTCTTCCAGGCTTGTATGTAAAGCTAGTCCCCTACTTTGGCTCTCTAACTATCTTTTCTGACCATTGTTAAGACACCATCAAATCCACACGTTTTGCATTTCTTTTTCAAAGTCCATGTTACTCCCCTACATTTTGGTATATATCTTTTTCTAAAGAAGCTTTACTCCAAGCATCTCATGAAGTCAGTGAAAGCTTGTATTAGAAATTCCTTTTTTTTCTTTTGGTTTCAATGGTTCTGCAGGGTTAATTTATCCTTTTATAGGAGATGAACAATGGCAGCTATTGATATCTTTTACTATTGTCTAATCCTGTTTAAGTGGAAAACTCTGGCTTAATTCACCACGTTGAATCAGATTGGATGTTTATCAGCTGTAATATGGCAATCTGAGATGGGAATAAGTTAATTTGGATCTTTAGCATATCTCTGGAGACCTCCAAGATATAATAATTGCTTTTATTGTTATTAGCACTCACATGTTTACACACTCCTTATTTTTCTTCACATGCATGCAGAACACAGAAAAGCCGGCCACCCATAATTCCATGAAACTGATATCAATATTAAAAATTATAATAGTGCAATTTATTAAACTAAAAGTCCAATAAACCTTCAATCCTTAAATCTCATTTGATCTAATGTTATAACAAGAATAGAATCACAAATATGTTAATAGTTTCCCTACTTGTGCGGCTGATTGTTCTTTTTATCTAACCCAGAGAGGATCCTTAATCAGGTGACAAATTGAATCTAGAGTTATTTTGGACTCATTTAAATGAATGGAACTTGTAAACTAGAATAAAGAAGGGGAGCCAGGAGGACGTTGCCATCTTGTCCCCTGTGACATCAGCGCCCCTCCCCCAACACCAATGGCCACTCTGGGGCCAGAATAAAGAAGGGGAGCCAGGAGGACATTGCCATCTTGTCCCTGTGACATCAGCGCCCCTCCCCCAACACCAACGGCCACTCTGGGGCCAGAATAAAGAAGGGGAGCCAGGAGGACGTTGCCATCTTGTCCCCTGTGACATCAGCGCCCCTCCCCCAACACCAACGGCCACTCTGGGGCCAGAATAAAGAAGGGGAGCCAGGAGGACGTTGCCATCTTGTCCCCTGTGACATCAGCGCCCCTCCCCCAACACCAACGGCCACTCTGGGGCCAGAATAAAGAAGGGGAGCCAGGAGGACGTTGCCATCTTGTCCCCTGTGACATCAGCGCCCCTCCCCCAACACCAACGGCCACTCTGGGGCCAGAATAAAGAAGGGGAGCCAGGAGGACGTTGCCATCTTGTCCCCTGTGACATCAGCGCCCCTCCCCCAGCACCAACGGCCACTCTGGGGCCAGAATAAAGAAGGGGAGCCAGGAGGACGTTGCCATCTTGTCCCCTGTGACATCAGCGCCCCTCCCCCAACACCAACGGCCACTCTGGGGCCAGAATAAAGAAGGGGAGCCAGGAGGACGTTGCCATCTTGTCCCCTGTGACATCAGCGCCCCTCCCCCAGCACCAACGGCCACTCTGGGGCCAGAATTGTTTTTATACTATGTCTTGAATTTTGTTGTTCCTATGTTGTACACCGCTGTGAGTCGCCCCTGGGCTGAGAACAGCAGTATATAAGCAAAGTAAATAAATAAATAAATAAATAAATGATGTAAGTCCCATTGTTTCTGTGAGTCTACTCCAATACTAACTACATTTGGATCCATCCCATTATAGCTTTTGTTTTAAAGGCAAGTATTATTTCCTTTTGTTGATATGAAGGTTTTGGGGGAAATCACTTCTGTGTTGCATAAATGTTATTGCTTTCATACTATGGCCATTTGTCTGTTACATTCAGAAATCCTTTGTATCTGCAAGACTTGGGGTAGAAGTACCTAAAGCAATGGGAATGTACCTAAAGGAAAGGGGATGCTTTTGTATACTAATAGTTGGTCTTCCTTCTATTCAGATAGGAATTGGGTTCACCTTCATCAACGCTACAAATCGAGCAGAGATCAAAACAAAGTTGGTGTTAAGAACTGAACATTAAGTAAATATAAGGTAAAGTAATACAGTTAAAAACTAATATTTTAGAGTCTAAGCCATAGATATTACAACATTATTGCATCGATTGTCTAGGAATATAATTCTTTGCCCCTGGATATTGAGAGAACGAGTTGTGCATTTAACATCACTGGTTCTTCTGTCAAAGTGGGATTGTTGATTAAGCATTAAGGATAGAATCTAGCTGATGCACTATGCCATTATTCTGGCAGTAGTGGCAGGAAGAAAATGGCTGTGGCTACAGCAGATGTTCCTGAAGTCAGACAATGGAGAAATAGGTTGCTTGGAGCAGGAATGTTTCATTAGACTTCCTTGTCACTGCTGTGCCACTCAGGAAAAAGTGCAGAAGTTAGAGTAGTGTACAAAAGGGTGCAAGATTAATGCTAGTGATTGGTCTATTAGTGAAATGATGGTTGGAACTCCAACACCTCATAGAGAGTTTTTGCTCCTACAACATATTTTCCCTTCCACATTCAGTCTCTTGTGTGTTACAAATGGTTCCCAACCCCCAGGAGACTTTTTTTAGGCAATAGGAGGTATAGTACACAGAGGAAAATAATCCCCTCCTCTTCCATTAATTATAGCTATTTCATCAGTTGGAGGGATTAATTGAACATCCATTGTAAGAGGTGTTGACTAATATGCTTGACACAAAATACAATCTAGAAAAGATTATAGGTTTGTTCAAAATATTGCTTGGACCATGTAGGTATGTGTATGTATATCTATGTTTTATTTACTTTTTGTCATATTCAAAGAATGATCCCTTACATGACTATTTAAAAATGTGTTGTTCAATAATCATATTCCAAGTGGAACTGGCAAAGGAAAAAGAAATAAAACTTCCTGTGATGTGTGAGTCCATATATATTAACATGATTTATTTTTAAATTAGCAACAAACCAAAATTAGAAATCAAAAATATGTATTTTGTGATTGGTATATAATGATAATAACAATAATAATATTTTTGTGTTTCAAATGATAATATACTAATAAATGTTATTTCTTGCCTGCCTCTTCTCACAGGCTCAACATTGCTAAAACACTCATTTCAAACATTCCATAAAATACACATCAAAACGTATTTCCATAAAATAATAATTTTATGGAATTGTATTCAAACCTATCTCCCAAAGGGGACTCCGGACGGATTCAAACATACAACGGCAAAAACATTCAATGCCTACGTAAAAAAAAAACTGACATAAAATCCCACAAAAAGTCACATATGAAAATAACATTGAATCCTAACATCAAATTAAAGCCTAACATCAGTAAATTAAACTTAACATCAATAAATTAAACTATTTGTAGTCAGACAAAATTATATAATAACAGAAACCCTAAACCAAACATATAAAATACATATTAAAATACACAAAAACAAAAATTAGACATAGAATTGAAGTTTAACATTCATCATTAAAATTCTCTGGGTAGGCGTGCCAGGAGAGATAGGTCTTCACCTGTGTCTTGAATTCCGACAGCTGTCAAAGTTCTACCAGCTGGTCATTCCACAGTTGTGGGCAACAAGTGAAAAGGTGCTCTGGGTTGAGTTCTGGCAGGCTGGAGCAGACACCCCCAAAGGACCTCCGTGTTTGGGGTTGATTGTCTGGAAGAAGACAATCCTGTACACAACTCTGCATTTTGCAGCACTGATTTCGCCCCGGATCTGAAATCAGCTTTTCAGTTTGCAACTTTGGTGTGCTGATGCTTTGTGTGCAGATGAGTGAGATGCAAGGGTATTCCAAAAAGTACTATATTCCAGAGCACAAAATACTTAAATCTCCTAGCATTTGAGATAAAGTATATCCACCTGTAGGAGGTAACACATACATACATATACACATACCCTAAATAGTCCTGTATAAGTCTAGAAAGTTTAGTAAAAAATCAGCCCAGAAATTCTGCCTCAACTTACCCATGGGTTAATGTGAGTACTATATTCTAACTTGTCCCAAAAAAAATCTACTTCTCTGAATAGAGTGGCAAAAGACAAGAACCTAGTCTGTCCCAGAAGAGCCTAAAAGAAGTACCAGCCCTCTGTTCTACCACAACTTTGATTCAGATCTTTTTGAATGCCAGGACAGTGCTTGCTGGCCTTCTGAGTTGGCATTGGTACTTTCCCCTTTCTGTAGAATGACACTATCCATGGGTCCTATAAAAATCCATAATCTTGGCCCCCAAACCTGCCCTCACGTTATACATGAAGTCTGCTTTATACGTGAGCCTATATGATACACACACGCACTGCCAACAGTTTCTCTTGGCAGTCCACTTTACTCTCCCGTCTCAACCAAAGATGTGCCAAGACACCTCCCCATCCCCACCTGTGACAATACTCGGTGCCTGACCAATGAACCTGAGTACATGAGCATTGATGGCACTCAGTAGTGGGAGAGTTGATTTTCCTGTATCCAGCTTTGCCTCAGAATGGTTAATCAATGTTCCCACTACTTTAAGGTCTAGTATTTGAGGTGATGAGAATTTCCGAACTAGTAGTGACATGCTGCATAGGAATACATTGTGGCTACAACAGTCTAACAAAGGGTGGAATGCTTGTGGCACCGGCTCATTCTGTAGCACTCCATATTTAACAAGATTGGAAATGTGTGGAACAAGTGTACAGCCCCTGGTACGTTAACTAAAGCCATTTCATGTTTACTTTACAGCATTCTTTTGGTGTAATGAGTTCATTAAAAAAAAGCTTTTGATGCTAATTCAGAAAATATTCATACAGCATCTTTCATATGCAGTTTTGATGCAAACTGACAAGCTGTAAGTTAATTAGCACAGAACCTACTAATGAGGATGCTAAAAATCTTCACTTTTGAGTTTTCATATTGATGTCCTCTGGATATACTGAAGGAAACTCTGATATACTGGTAGGGAGGTGTTGGGTTGTTTTTCTATTAGCTTGATATGCCGATGCTTTTTCAGGTAAGGTGTCAGAAGAGGAACAAAATATTTGGGGGGGGGGGGGTTTACAATTTTTTAAAAAATGAATATTGCAAGAAAAACTTGTCTTTTCCCCCTTTCAAAACTGAGGCTAACCCAATCCCAGTTCACTTAAAATGCGGTTGCTAATTAGTATGGAAGACAGCTTCTTGGATTAATATGTGGTGTTAATTAATAGGAAGTCTGATGTTGTGTTGTAATTACTACCAATATTTTTGACATAATGAGTGACTGAAGGTGAATTATATGGAGCACAATTTACCAAACACATTAGAACCTAGGTATGCCATCTCTTTTTTGTTTCTTTCCTTTAGAAATTATGGATAGACTTCTGCGACTTGGAGGAGGCATGCCTGGTCTGGGACAGGTTAGTATCTAGCTTTTGGTGCATTTAAAAAAGATTTGAATAAATTTGCAAGTCTTCTCTCCCTCCCTACATATATTTCTAGTTAAAAGTTACTCTCAGTTCCACTCTCAGTGTATTGAACCATGCTTGGCCCCCTGGTACATAGGAGTCATCTGCTTCCAATGGAAATTTTAGTGATTGGGCAGAATATTCAATAGGTTAGAAAATTTACCATTTTATTCAAATTTACCTAGTGTTACCGTAAAGATTTAATACTTTTTGGGGGGTAACATGATGTTTCATAAGCAAACCATACTTCATCATGTACATTAATATAAATTATCAAACCTGCTTTCATGTTGTTTCACTGCCCAAACAGAATTTGAAAATATGCAATGTACGATGAAGCAAGATATTTTTATTTGGAATTTAGGATCGTAGTTTGCTCAGAGCAGATGATTTGTCAAACTTTATTCAAGCATGCAGTGGAAAGCACAAATCATTTGCAAGTTAAATCTCCCTGGACTGATCAGCAGTGATGGTCTACATCTTATTCATATAAGCACCACATCTATGTGAGTGCATCTCATAACACATATCGCTTGGTCACCACAATGAATGTGCAAGAATATGAAAGAATTCTGAAAGTTCTTGATAAAATATCCCAGTAAACATGGCTGCTCAGTTTTCTTTTTCTGTCTATTCCAGTGGTTCTCGGCCTGTGGGTCCCCAAATGTTTTGGCCTTCAACTCCCAGAAAGCCTAACAGCTCGTAAACTGGTTGGGATTTCTGGAAGTTGTAGACCAAAACACCTGGGGACCCACAGTTGAGAACCACTGGTCTAGTCCCTTCCAACTAGTGAAAAGTCTCTTCTTTCCACTTGCACAAAATACCACACCTTGTTCCACTGTCTTGTCAAATAAGGCCTTCCTCTCCTTCATCAGTGGTCTATAGCTCTGTATAAACAATATTTTGGGGTTCTGAGATTTAACTAATCCCTGACTGTCTCTGCCATTTCATTTATTTCTAAAGATTCCCATGCCGGCTTATCCAGGTGCTTTTTACATTAATGCTGTAACATTAATGTAAAAGAAGAAACAAATTCCAAATAAATATAAAGCCAAAGTCCATTTTGGCCCTAAAAGGAAAGCAACATCAGCATCAATCATACCTCTCTTCCGAAGGTGCTTCAGCATCAGGGGACTGTCACAAAAAAGCACACAATAGTGCCGCAAAGAATGCACTTTCATGAATGTACAGCTTATTTCTCTCATTGATGTATGTCAACAAAAAGCTTCTTAAACTGTTTATGTACAAGTTGGGGGATATGGAAGAGAAGCCTTTTTCTAGTCCTGATTGGATACCCAAGCCAGGTACTTAATTATTCTTTGACTTGGATGTCACCCAGGTTTTATGTTGCCGCCACATATTTTAACTACTGTCATGCTAATGTTAAGTGTAAAGTTCTTTGGGAGCCCACTGTTATTTTTCTTCCTCAACCAGAATCTTTGTATAAAGCTTTTATGTACTGTATGCTTTTTTGTCTTAGATGCCAGAATGAATAACATAAGAGTTGAGTGACTTTTCCCATGACAGTACCTATAACTTTGGCTTAGCATTATAGCTACATTTGCCCTTAGCATTTCTTTCTCAATCCTTTTCAATTCATAGTTTTAAATGAGCTTGAAAAACAAGCTACTTGGTGAGAAAATTAGGGCCTTTTTTTAGAGTTACAGTGTTCCATCTCTGTCACAAGAGTCATCAGAGGGCATGACCCATGTTTGATTTCATGGGTGTTTATGCTTTTATCTTTTAAAGTTTTGATTGTGTGTGGGGGGGGGGGGTCTGTTCTGGTAATGCAGTTCCTGATGAAGATGGCAACCGATCTGCCAAATCACCAGGATTGGAGTATGAACAGTAAAATTAGCACAAACTTTCACTGAATTTTAATGTTTGACAGGTTCATGTAAGATTTGAGAGTGGGCTGTCTTATTTTTGGGATCTGTCTAATTTTTTCCCAGGTAGGCAAGGGAAAGGAAAGGTGTTGTAAATGTGTTTTAATTAGGAAATGGAACACTGATGAGATAGAGGTTTTAATACCAATGGAAGCTATACATTTGAGCCACTCAAGGTTTCTGATAATCAGAATTTACAGTCGATAGTTGCCAATTTCCTATACATAAACTTTTGATTTAAGGATTTGGAGAAAATGTCTTCTTCTTTCCCAGATTCACTATATCAGACATCTTTCTGGGATCATGGGTACAGCACTGGGTGCAATCCATAGTACTTGGTTAGCCATTAGCCCTATGTAGGCAATAAGGATACTAAACATATAAGGAAGTAGAGCATTCTACCTTGCCACCCCCCCAGGGCCCCGCTTTACCGGCCTTCATTTATCTTTCAAATTTCAACATGTGACACACAGTATTATAAAGTAGGGACCACCTATGTCCATGGAGATGTTCCATGTTTATTTGAACACTGGCAGAAGAAGCACACTCTTATGTAGCATGTTTCTATTTTGAAAATATGTGTAACATTATAGAAAGCATCCAGTATATGCAAACTTACAGGGCTAGGTATAAATTGATCCGTACTGTAGCAGTGATATCCCAGACAAATTGGGAGATAAGTGTTTTGGTTTCATTACAGAGAAATGGAAGACTTTTCTTAGACAACGAAGTATACAGCCTTGAGACAGGGACTGAATTTTTGGGTAGAATCTAGCAGTGCAATGTGGCTTTTGTTTGAGCAGATGTCTCAATTAATAGAAAAGTGGTTTTCATTTTCCCCCAAATGTATTTATTTAGTATACCGTCTTTCTCATCCCTGCCTACATACATATAATAAAATAAAATCACAATAACTAAACACTGACACATAACTATAGATGAAAATTATTAAAACCATTAAACATAGGCATAAACAATATGTAAACACTAAGACAAAGCATTAAAAACATCCAAATATAAATGTTAAAATCACATGATCCAAATTTCCTTCTACCTTCTCCCAATATGTTCTAGACAATTAAGGTGTACTCCAGAACAGGGTGGAAAATTGCCACATGGCCTGGGTGTGCAAAGGAAAGTGCAGATCAGAAGTAAATCCTCCACTTAATAGATGTTTCTACTAGATAAGAAGTCACTCTGAGCCGAATAGCACTTCCACACTGCAAATCCTATTAAAACTGTTATAATAACTTGTGAAAATCTGCTTCTTCCAATTCTATTACATATGCCTACACCTGGATCCAACTTAGACAGTTTTAGAAAGTAATTTTACCAGTGGGACACTTTATAGGTATGGAATTTTATCCAAACTGATGTTGTTCAAATATCTTTTGTTATTATTTAAACAATGTCACAAACTGCTGTTTTTATTTTCCTGAATTTAGGATCCAGCTATCTATCATGAAGTCTTGTTTGGGGGGAAAAATCTTGATGCTTCATAAACAGAAAGTATGCAGTTATGATCTAGCACCTCTAGTTGCTTATAGGTTGAACAAATGTTCAATTTTATAGTTGGGGAAATGCTGTGCATGCTTTGTAGTTTGGTGTTATTTTTATTAAGGAAACACACATCACTTAAACATTCAAACCTCAAAACCTTTACACTATATAAAGCAACAGTCATGAGCAGATACAATGTAAAATGCATGTGAATCAGTTCTGACTGGTAGATGGGCTTTGAGGCAGCTCAGACATCTCATTGAGAGATCAAAAAACAAAGCAGTGCAATGCACTTTCATATGGCTTATTCAGGCAGTCCTAACCATAGGTCGGAGCAGTAGGTTTTAATGGTTTCACATCTCACAAATGCCTTTATTTCAAGCATGCATTTGAGAACTTATTTATTCATTTTATTTTTAAGAATGTGTAGTGATAGCAGTAGTTGTAACCAACCTAAAGTTAGGCTGTGACGCATGAAGTGATTTCAAGCTCCCCTCCAACTTGTTAAAGATTTGAGGGACTGTAGATTAATAAGAATGACTTGGAGGACTAGAAGCTCATAAGAGTCAAGCTCTGTCTGAATTACTCTCTTTTCTTTCCTTTGTGCCTGAAAGAAGCAGGTTAATTTTTCTGGGGCAAAACATAGCTTGCCATTACATCTAAAACTGCCAACCATGATTTCTTCACATGACAAAATCTTTAGTGGTGGGATAACTGCCACCTGACTGTGACCATTGTCTGATGTCTTGGATGAAAACTAATGCCACTCAGATTGTATATGAACAATCTAAGAGAGGGTAAAACTGAATAAATGAAAGGTTAAAACACATATCTTTCAAACGGCTTGTTATGATGCACTCTCACACAATTGTCACTGTTATTGTCTGCCTTCAAGTTGTTTCCGACTTTGGCAACTCTAAGATGGCCTTAAAGGACTTTTCTTAGGGAGATTAGTTCAAAGGGGGGTTTTGAGGCAGAGAAAGTGTGGCCTGCTCATTGTTTACATGTCTGGGCAGGGATTTGAAGCCTGGTCTCCGATAGTGTAAGTCCAACACTCAAGCCACTACACAACGCTGTTTCTCACACAGCATAAACATTCTTCACTTACAAAGCAGTTCGGAGACATAGCTATATAATTCCAGTGGGTTGACTAAGGATTTGGGAATTACAAATATAATTCATTAATTCAAGTTAAATGTTCTTGTTCCATTTCCTTTTCTGAATTTTGAAATGTCATTTCTGGAGCACAATAGCATTGACAGCTGGTGACATGATGATGTGTGTGGGTGGGTAAATAACCCAGAGTAACACTGTATACAGCCCTCAAAAAGAGTAACTGAAACGCCAGCTAAGCCTGTCCTTGAAAACAGAACACAGTCTCCTGCCATATTTGCTTATTACAACTTTGGCGAGATCCTTTCAACCAATGTCTGGAGGAAATAGTTGTTAAGGTAGACCACTGTTTTAAAAAAAAGGAAGCGGTGAAGGGGAGGGGTGACCTGTCTCTTAGCCGTGTTAGCACTTCAGCTGGAAATAAAGAGGCAAGAATTGCAAATAGCTATTTTG